GGGGGGGGGGGGGCGGCACTTTAGGAATTTCTGGGTGGGGATGTGCCGCTGGGAGCCTTGGAACCCTTAACCTTTACCAGAGCTAGTTCAGCTGAACTTTGCTACCCTATACTAGAGTAAACTCCCCAAATCCCCCTATCCTAGAGTAGCTGTTTCCCCAGTCTAGATAAAATCTTCAACCAACTGATCAGTTTCTTGAAAAATGATACCCTATTCTAGACCCAAACGCTCTGATTTATATACCCTATCCTAGAGTAAACTGCTTGAAAACCATACCCTTCACAGCGGCACATACCTATATAGCCCATATATGGCAGTACCCCCCGGGCTATTTACGCATTGAGTGGACCTCTACATTCAAGGGTTTTTATTATTTTTTATGATACCTTTCCTGGCCGGCCGTATCCCAGATCTGTAGCTTGACCTTTTTACCATCTAGAAAGAATTAAAACAGTTAAAAACACAGATATACGTAATGCCCATTTCAAACACCTCAAACACAATAGACCTCTTTAACTTGTATGTTTTGTTTTCCTTTAGAGGTCCCGGGAGAACTTTCATAAATTATGCATACATATGCAGAGGAAATTTGAAAGAAGCAGTTTGGGAAAACAAAACATTAAAGCTAAAGAGGTCTATTGGAACAGGACTTGGCCCCGCGCCGGTCACATGGATCGCGGGTTCTCATCTCGTGACCGAAAGTAGGATTTGTGATACCGGGAACAATAAATTTTGTTCGAAAGCCCGCAAATTTCGAAAGTAAATTTTCTCATGTCAGTATGTTAGTATATGTGGTAACCTTTATTCGTAGCTACTAGATACTTTTTTATTTGAAGTAATTAAGCCAATCTAAACATTTCAAATATAAAAAGTGCAAACACAAATATTCATTTCAGTATCATTTCATAAGGAACATAACAAGAAATAAGATGTAAATAGTAGCATTCGCACTGAAAATATTAAGTATGTGAAAACAAAAATTATTTGCGAAATTTTTTTAGCTTTCAATATGTAATCCAAGTATGTGCATGTATAAATACCCTTCAGTATGAGGGAATTTGGAAAAATATTGCAAAACAATAACCACACGCTCGGACTTGATTATTTCAAAGTCTGCGATGGTATACTGTTGATATTTCTCTATCCGGGCAAGTTTTAATGAATTTGTGGGCAAAATAAACTTACTTTGAGCTATTTCATACTCAAAATTTATATTTGAGAGCGTTCATGGCAAACACGACCCGCATATACATGCACGACTCACGGGAGCTCACACATTTTGCGCGGCGCATGATTAACTGATGTAGCCTTTGTACTTACCGATCTCCACGGTTCTTATTTTGAAGTCTATTCCAATTGTAGAGATATATGAAGAAGTAAATGTGTTTTCTACAAATCGGACCAGGATACAAGTTTTTCCCACGCCGCTATCTCCAACTAAAAGGAGTCTAAACAGGTAATCATAATTCTTCGACATGTTGTGTTCTTGCTGGCAGAACTGCGTGACAGCCTATGATGCCTTGCCGCGGATTGCAAAATCACGTGCACAATTCTAATGTCACACAAGACATTGTAATGAGCGATTTTGCATATTTTTAAAAAACACAAACAACAAAAATAAACAAGTCCATGGAGATGTTTATTATAAGTAGGTGGGAGGTTTCCTTGCCCAATTTCCTCGAGATTTCTAATTAAAATTAGAAAAGATTCTGACTATTAAATAAAATATCTCAGTTTTGGCGCAACCTCGTCCCCAGCCCTAGGTACGAGGTTGGCTTTGGCGGCGTTTCCTAATCTAAATTAAACACCAACTTGGCTATCTTTTTAACAGTCCTTTCGTTTAAACTGCCTTTTAAGACTTTTTCAGCCACGGTCTTAATTAAGCTAAGTTAAACAGAGCTGAGAAAAGTAATTTGTCTACACATGAATATGTTTGTTTGCTTGTTTATTTCTTTGGTGAAATTGAAAATACAGGATCTAATCAGAAAGAAAATATCTTTCATGTGTTACTACGCCTTAACTTTTTAAGTTCAGAAAAATGCCGTACGCGAAGGTATTTCAAGGAGAAAATGTTACCAACTTCCGGTTCCGGTTTACCTGTCACGGAAGTTTGGTAACCACTCCTTTTTCCTCTGCCATAAACAGAACTGTAACACAACGCCACGGGAAAACAGACTTCTTGATTAGAGAATGGCCGCACAGAAAAACTTTGACTTGTTTTTCAAGCTGCTTCTTATAGGCGACAGCGGAGTTGGCAAGACTTGTATAATATTTCGATTTGCCGATAATACGTTCAATCCGACATTTATTTCGACCATTGGAATAGACTTCAAGATCCGAACTTTAGAACTAGGTGAGTAAGCTACACGAAGTATAGCACAAAATACGGTGGTCGTAATCGAATCAGTCTGACTCGCAAATGAAGATTTCAGTAAGATCTGTTTCAAAAAGCTTAAAATTTAACAAGTACCATTAAGTTCTATCGAATTCTTAGTGCAGTTTGTATAGTATTTTGCAGAAAAACCGCACGGTTTTCTGCTGATGTGAAGGCATTTAAATATGCACATACAGAACACAGATCGTTATGGCCGCTGATTCATTTTGTCATTTAACCATGGGGTGTACGTTTGAAACACAGTAGAGCCTCCCTGCTTTTTTGTTCGTCGTGTTAAATTTAACAAGGCATCTACGATTTTCCCATGGTGTTACCGTATTTCGGCAAACGTAGGGAAAATATTTATCTTAATAGTTTTTTGATGCCGTGTATTATTTCCGTTCAAACAACACGGCATGTTTTATGTTTATAGCTTTCTCGAATATTGAAATTGAAAGAACTGTCATCGTTAATTGTCTGTTTCATGAAAGTATAAAATTTCACGAAGTCTTCGAACGAAGTTTCCTCTTTGTAACAGATGTGTTAGTGTCTGAAAAGCTAGATGAATTTTGGTGATAATTATGGCATTTTATATCCTGACGATTAATTGTTTCCATGTACTAGTTAGGTGGATTAACCAAACTGAAAATATCAGAGATGTATATGGAATGACTATATTTGTGAAAATTAAAATTTCTCGGTGTTGGAAAAATAATGATTTTTAGTAAACACATTCACATGAAGGCCTTTTGATGACCAATATAAAAATGAATGCTATTTCTTTGTTGTGCCAAATGAAGCGAAGATAATTTGGCAAAATATACATATGTTTCCGCAGTGAAATTGTAATGACGTAATGGTTCGAAAGTGGTTGCATATTGAATTCAGGAGAAGAGCTATCTCTGAGGTGTCCGAATACACAGAATGTTACGTTTTATATATTTGACCTTGATGGTTTAATATCACATCGCTTACTTTAAGGTAAAACTGCTTTAAATAGATATTGGCTTTCACCAGAGAGACCAAGAATTTTTAAAACCCCTAGCAGTAAGCAACCTTCTTCCTAATAATGATAATAATAATAATAATAATAATATAATTGATTACGGTAAATTATATAAAACCAACCATGATACTAACGTCAGTTGTAATGTTAAAAAAGCATGCCAAGGCCCCCCAACACTAAATAATCTCAAATGCGACTTTGAACCTGGCCTACATGATAAAACCCCGTCAAAGCACATAATTAATCAAAATGAAATATATCTAAATGCCATTCAGGGTACGTTTTCCAAGTTTTTTGGTGTCTTTTACCAAATGAGGAAGTTTTTATCCCGGAAAGGGGGTGGGTTTTCTGCCAGAAGTTTAGTTTTGAATTCAACAATCTCAACTTGTGAGCTAGACTACAAATGTCGCCGGTCTTGCGTAGCCGTAGCTCTGTCAAGTTTTAAAACATTAAAGGCGCACTTTCGCAGAATTTCATGTCTTTTAGAGGTTGTCTGAATCATTTGTAGATCATTACCAAACGTTAATCGTCAGTGTATGTAAACTATTAAGTTCAAAGTGGAACGCTTTTTATGTTTGCTTTCCTACAAATTTAATATTTCTTTGACAAATAGCCCACGACTGAACTTCCTGCCAGAGTCTATTAATTTCCCCTTGCTTTTGATTATAGCCAACTTTCGGTTATGAAACTATAAAAAATTTACAACGTTCCCTTTCTTCCCCTGCGGCACTCGTGCCGGCTTGATATATTTCCAAATAAGATGAAAAAAACAAGGAAAGAAATGCATGACCGAATGAAACCTAAACCTAAGCAAACTATAAAGTACAAAGTGGAACATTTTTCACGTTTTACTACGAATTTATGCTTGTTTGTTTGTTTTCTTTTTCGCCAAATTTTGAGACAAATAGCCCTCACAGAAACGCCTATTTCCTCTTGCTTTTGATTGTTGCCATCTCAAGTTGGATGACGAAACAAATAAAAATCAGAACGTTCCCCACTCGTGCATGCTTGGTATTTTTCCAAATAAGGTGGTAAAAACAAGAGGAAGCGGAAATGCACGACCGAATGAAACCTTAACCTGAGCGCTATTACCGTATGGAAAGGGGAACTTTTCGTTTTTACCTGCGTTTGATGCGGTCGCCTCTTTTTAAGACCTTAATAATGCTTTTTTGTTTGGAATTTAAGGTGGAAAGAAAATCAAGTTACAGATCTGGGACACCGCCGGCCAAGAAAGGTTAGCTTTTACCTTAGTGTGCCTCACATTATATGTTCTTCAGCAGCAGTCGACAATTTAACAAGTGGTTTTTTATGTACCATTTATCCGCGTGCTTGTTCGTGATTTTTTATTAATATAATATCAAACGTGAAAGGTGATCTATTTTTTGCCTGGCAATTTTTCGTGACGTATGCATTGTTCAAATTATTTTTACGTAAGTTAATTGTTGGCTTCACACTAGAAGCAAAGGTAGTTTCAAGTAAGCACTTGATTCAAGTGCACTTGAAAATCTTAAGTCGCAGTGTAGAAAACATGGCTTCACAATTGTGCGCAAAGTATATTACTTGAAGTACCAGCTGTCAATCCTCTTTCACGGTAAAATACTAATGCCTTTGCGCTGAAAAGGGTTGTTTGTAGATTCGTATATATTTTTTATTACTTTGAACTCAAAGGGTTTTGACCCTGATAGACATACGTACTTCGTTTTTTTACGAGTACTTCTTAGCGGTACAGAAAAAAAGAAGTGACGTCTTCCTCTGTATTTCTTATTTCGACAACGCGCTTTTCGGTAAATAAATCGCCGTAGCGCTTTGCTTGACCTCTTCTGCAACGCTCTTAGCTAACCAAGACATGTCTTAAATGTTTATCTGTCCGTTAATATTAGAATCTTGGAACTGCTGCGGCTGCACATCGTGCACATGGCTTCCATTTCTTGTTAGTCAAGTGTGTTCTGAAGTGTAGTGTCGACTATACTTTGGCGGCGAACTTCGGCTTCTTTAAACTACTAACGTTTCCATGATAACCAAGTAAAGTTTAAGTGGGTACATTTTACCCTTTCACAGTCAAAGTAGCTTCCAAATACACTTTCATTATACTTGCAAGCTCTACTGAGTGTGAAGCCAACAAATGTTGGAAATGGGTATAGGGGACCCATCTCGTGCTCTTGTAAAAACGTTTGTTCATCTTAGCTCCGTTAACACCAGCGATTTAATTGCGCGATCTGGCTTTTAATGAAATATTTTCGGCAGTTATCGCCATTTTACTAGCCTGTTAACTGCAGACATATTTCCGATCGTCGCTTCTGTACGTTATTTTACGGAGGGAGAGAAGCGACGACCGGAAATACGTCTGCCGTTCGCAGGCTACCATTTTACAAACATGTGCCCTTTTTCTCCCTGAAGCAGACTAGGCATCATGGCTAATTGTTTTGGTATTTTCATGCGCAAATCGCCGCGGATTTACGCCAAACCTCGATCAGTTATCGACGACTTTTTCTGGGTTGAAACCAGGTAGCAGCTCATTCCTTAACGCAGGTTAAAAGTCGTCTGTAAAGGTCTCGGGGCCAAGAATGTCGTTATGAGTCATGAGAAAAACGCAAGACTTAGTGCTTTATTACTGAAACCCTAACTCAACTTCCCCCTCCAAGATGATCGTGGGTAAAAACTAATGATGTTTCATTTTTTCATTGATGTCTAGATTCCACACAATAACAACTGCGTATTACCGTGGGGCACTGGGCATTATGCTCGTGTACGACGTCACAAATGAGAAAACCTTCACTAACATCTCAAAGTGGATGAGAAAGATCGAGGAGCACGCGAATGAAGACGTAGACACCATCTTAGTTGCAAACAAATGCGACTTGGAAAGCAGGAGAAAGGTCACGAGAGAAAGGGGAGAGATGTTAGCCCAGAACCATGGCATAAAACACGTAGAAACGAGCGCACTTTCAAGTGAAAATGTCGACCAAGCGTTCATTGTTCTAACACAGGACATTTTGAACAGAGTTTGCCCGCCCGTTCAGGAAGAGAGCGTCAAAAATGGCAAAGGAAAAGGGAAGAAGAAACGAGTCAACTTAAAGAGATCATCTTCTCCTCGTCTTTCATGTTGTAGGTAGAAGAATCCTCGGTGAAAGAAATCGAAAAATGACAACTCTCGATAGTCGTAAGATGAAGTCAAATCTTTCCCTATTTCTTCTTCGATGGTTGGTTTTTGTCATAAATTATCTTCCGTTCATAGAGGAAGCGGAAATGCACGACCGAATGAAACCTTAACCTGAGCGCTATTACCGTATGGAAAGGGGAACTTTTCGTTTTTACCTGCGTTTGATGCGGTCGCCTCTTTTTAAGACCTTAATAATGCTTTTTTTGTTTAAAATTTAAGGTGGGAAGAAAATCAAGTTACAGATCTGGGACACCGCCGGCCAAGAAAGGTTAGCTTTTACCTTGGTGTGCCTCACATCATATGTTCTTGGGCAGTAGTCGATAATTAAACACGTGGACCATATATACGCGTGGTTGTTCGTGATTTTTTATTATTATAATATCAAACGTAAAAGGTGATCTATTTTTTGCCTGGCAATTTTTCGTGACGTATGCATTGTTCAAATTATTTTTACGTAAGTTAATTGTTGGCTTCACACTAGAAGCAAAGGTAGTTTCAAGTAAGCACTTGATTCGAGTGCACTTGGAAATCTTAAGTCGCTGTGTAGAAAATATGGCTTCACAATTGTACGCAAAGTATATTACTTGAAGTACCAGCTGTCAATCCTCTTTCACGGTGGAATACTGAATGCCTTTGCGCTGGAAAAGGGTTATTTGTAGTTTCGTAAATTTTTGATTACTTTGAACTCAAAAGGTTTGGACCCTGATAGACATACGTACTTCGTTTTTTTACGAGTACTTATTAGCGGTACAGAAAATAACAAGTGACGTCTTCCTCTGTATTTCTTTACAATGGCTCAACAACGCGCTTTTCGGCAAATAAATCACCGTAGGGCTTTGCTTGGCCTCTTCTGCAACGCTCTTAGCTAACCAAGACATGTTGAATGTTTATCTGTCCGTTAATATTAGAATCTTGGAACTGCTGCGGCTGCACATCGTGCCCATGGCTTCCATTTCTTATTGGTCAAGTGTGGTCTCAAGTGTAGTGTTGACTATACTTTGGCGGCGAACTTCGGCTTTTTTAAACTACGAACGTTTCCATGATAACCAAGTAAAGTTGAAGTGGGTACATTTTACCCCTTCACACTCAAAGTAGGTTCCAAGTACACTTTCATTATACTTGCAAGCTCTAGTGTGAAGCCAACAAATGTTGGAAATGGGTATAGGGGACATCTCTCGATCTGCCTACTAATGAAATATTTTCGGCAGTTATCGCCATTTTACTAGCCTGCGAACGGCAGACGTATTTCCGGTCGTCGCTTCTCTCCGTCCGAAAAATAACGTCGTCATTTTTCGGAGGAAGAGAAGCGACGAACAGAAATACGTCTGCCGTTCGCAGGCTACCATTTTACAAACATGTGCCCTTTTTCTCCCTGAAGCAGAGTAGGCATCATGGCTGATTGTTTTGGTATTTTCATGCGCAAATCGCCGCGGAGTTACGCAAAACCTCGATCAGTTATCGACGACTTTTTCTGGGCTGAAACCGGGTAGCAGCTCATTCCTTAACGCAAGTTAAAAGTCGCCTGTAAAGGTCTCGGGGCCAAGAATGTCGTTGTGAGTCTTGAGAAAAACGTAAGATTTTGTGCTTGATTAAAACCCTAACTCAACTTCCCTCTCCGAGATGATCGTGGGTAAAAACTAATGATGTTTCATTTTTTCATTGATGTCTAGATTCCACACAATAACAACTGCGTATTACCGCGGGGCACTGGGTATTATGCTCGTGTACGACGTCACAAATGAGAAAACGTTCACCAACATCTCAAAGTGGATGAGAAAAATCGAGGAGCACGCGAATGAAGACGTAGATACCATCTTAGTTGCAAACAAGTGCGACTTGGAAAGCAGGAGAAAGGTCACAAGAGAAAGGGGAGAGATGTTAGCCCAGAACCATGGCATTAAACACGTAGAAACGAGCGCACTTTCAAGTGAAAATGTCGACCAAGCGTTCATTGTTCTAACACAGGACATTTTGAACAGAGTTTGCCCGCCCGTTCAGGAAGAGAGCGTCAAAAATGGCAAGGGAAAAGGGAAGAAGAAACGAGTCAACTTAAAGAGATCATCTTCTCCTCGTCTTTCATGTTGTAGGTAGAAGAATCCTCGGTGAAAGAAATCGAAAAATGACAACTCTCGATAGTCGTAAGATGAAGTCAAATCTTTCCCTATTTCTTCTTCGATGGTTGGTTTTTGTCATAAATTATCTTCCGTTCACCGATAGCGTTCACACAGCGTTTACACAGCGTTTACAGTGAAACAGTAGCATAAAAAGGGCGAGTGTTCTGTTCACACGAGATGAAGCATCTGTTTGATACAGGTCCGTGTAAACAATCGTTGACTCGTTTATGAATAAAACCGCGTGTGTAAACGCTTCGAGTGTTCTCGGCTTTCACGAGACTAAGGGCGCTGTCCAAAAGTCAGAACTGGCCGGCCATACTGACCGTTCATTATGACAGTGAACATTTTTTTTTTTCGAAATTTTAACTTAAACCCCTCACTGCTGTGCACACTATTTAAAGAGGCTATGTTACGCTTTTTACTACTGAAATTTTTAAAAAGCTAAAACTTGTCTCGCATCAACATTGAAATCCAAGAAAATGGTCCAGTTTTGTTTTTTAAGACTATGGTTAAGAATTGAAACTGTTTCCTGTCGTCTGTTGCTGTGGATGGCAAGGATAGACATGGATTGAAACTTGGAAAAGTTGGGCCGACTTTTTCACGTTTTAAATACTATGACCACAAAAATCAGAAAAAAATATCATGGTAAGTGCTTCCTGATGAAATTTGTTTGATATGTTCATACTAATTCTACACTAACAGGAGCATTTCGTGTATGGGTTAACCATTTGTGGCCCCTATTCATTTCCTACAGAAGTAGTGGGGAGAAGGGGATAAAATATCAAGCAAATTCATCTTGTGTGATCATGTCCGTAATTCTCATGACTACTCTGTTTTACAAAGCATTGATATTACAAGGAGAAATTTGATGCTGATCACTCATAGGGCTTAAAAGGTTAAGGCAGTAAGTAATGACTAAAGTACAGCATTGACCTAAAACACAGAGAATAAACTGATCTGGTGGGATAGGTCTGATTAATAGTGGAATTCTCCTTACGACTGGAATGGTCTGGCTGGCCAGGTAGCTCTGACAAATGGTAAGCACCCTTACTAAGTCTCTTTTTGACAATTACTTGACACATTGGCGCACCGTGTAAGCAATTGTAGCCCATCGAAATTAACTGATATGTCGTGTGTAAATGCTTTGTAAATCGTTGTCTAAGGAAGACGTTTATCCATGATATCATATGTAGTATGCTGTCAGACCAGAGTTGACCTTACACCTAATGCGCGTCTAAGGGATCGATTTGAAAGTCAGTGAAACAGATTAAAATCATCGGGAAGTGAATATACTGAACATTTCAAAGTCATATATCTCGTTAATGGTAACGCTATGCGTTCTCGTGATCGTGCTAATATGTAAATATCTGGGTAATAACAATTACATGCTATTAGTTACCAACCACCTCAAAAAATAAATAAATAGAAGAAATAGATAAATAAAACAGTTCTCCTACCCAACTCTCTCAAAATATTGCATTGTAGGGCCCTAACGGCCCTACCGGTATAGTAACGTACCAACAGAACTAGTGTTTGGACAAAGAAATCCGTTCTAATTATTGCAATTGGTGAAATGTATCGTGTCGTTAGGGTTTGGGCTGCATGTTATAGGCATGGCCTTGTTGTGCTTTGATTAAAGTCCCTGCCTGGTCTCAAGCTTATGTTCAGGCAGTTGTTTTAAAACATGTTGTGGTTTTCAGTTCATAATTCCAGCATCCGTAATCTGCTGCTGAAGCCCACTCTCCCACGCCATTCTTTGAACTAATAACTGGTCTTTTGAACACTGTTACGAGTTAATTCTCCCCCGGGACATCATTTTAATTTAGCCAGTTACACGATATAAGCTTTCGTTAATGTGAAAATAAACTTCGTCAACTTCGTGTGCGTAAAACGTCTGAAAACGCCAGAGGCTAGGAGTAAAAAGGTTAGGAAGTACTTTTCAAAAAGATCATTTCAAAAATTTGCTTGTGTGGCTGGTTTGTTACTGTATCCCTAACTTCGAATATGGTATCAAGCCCTCAGTGTAACATTAATTTTTGAAGGTTATTAAAGGGGGAATTAATTTGCTCATTGGCTTCTCATGAAAAGCAAGTTGAAGCTACGCGTGTCATCCTTTTGCATGACTTAATTGGGTTAATACTTGAAAGTACATAAATGTATTTATCAGTTGTAAAAAATATTCTTAATAAAATGCAATATTGGCCCTTCGGAAAAAGAGAGAATGGCTGTTTTGTTTGTAGCTCTTATTATTATTGCATATGATTTGTTCAGAATTTTTAGAGAAACGTTCATGTTCTTCTCTCTTAAGGTGACTCGACCCAGTTTTTTTGGGGGGGTACCATCCTACTTTGAAGCTCTCTGGTATCCCCACCTTTACTTTTATCGTAAGTCTAACACATAGAATGGATAACATATAGATCAATCTACAATATAACATAAAATTTTTGGCGATCGGAGTAAATGTCACGTGGTTATAATGCCACGCCCCTTTGAGGTCTGAGTCGAAAATCTGCTGTTGCCGGCATTTTTT